GCTAGAGCAGACAGGACCTTCTTGAGTCCTTCAATTTTCCCTTTTACCGGATTAAGAGATTTCTCCAGTGCTTCTTTGTGTTTAGTAAAACTATCAGCTATTAGGTTATACTTGTGATCTTTATGAGCCAGCATGATACAATCACGACAGATAGATTCATCACATGTGTCACAGTAATACTTCAATGGCTCATCATGACTTGGTATGGGACAAATGAGAGGTGCCTCCTGTTTAGCTGGAGCTAGCAATTGAGAAGTAGAAGAGACATCAGAGGCTGTCACCTCATCAAGACTTGTCACCTGATGGTTAGCAAAAAGAGCCCATTTCTTGTGCATAGAGATGCATTCTGTACAAAGGAATTGACTGCAGTTTGTGCAGTATCCAGTGGCATTAGCTGTAGTACAGTTGTCACAGGTGACTACCTGTTCAGGATCAACTACTTTCTTCATTAGACTGTATATCTCTTTGAGGTTGTTGAGAGTGAATGCTACAGGAAAGGCTCCTGCTCCTTCTTCTGGTAACTCTGTACAATGACGACAAGTGGGACAAGAGAGGTAATAGGTCTCATTCTTCTTATCCAGAGGTAATCCCTCCAGACAGTGCTGACAGAATGAATGTAGACAAGGTAAAGTCTTAGGGTTGGTATAGTGGTGAAGACACACAGGACAGGTGAGCTGTTCCTCCAGTTTGAGGAGACCAGGAGAAGAAGATGAAGATAGTTTGGATGCCATTTCAAGAAAAGAATAAAATTGTGTACGTAAAGCAAGAACAAAAAATGAAGAGAGATAAAGGTAGAAGACGGTAGATGAAGATAGAGCAAGAACGGACGATAAGAAAATGAAGAAGTTGGAATGAACGAGAATGAGAGTAGCCTGGGGAAAGATAGCCCTGATGACCACTTGGAATATTCTATAGTCTTGTGACTAAAGGAAGTTATGATAGTACATAATGAAACCATAGATATTAGATGAAACCTGGCTTTACCATAGCAACCAGTGAAAAGGTGAATGGCTTTATACTACAGCATTAAACCAAACGTACAGTGTTTTAAGAAATCTAAATTTTTATGCAAGACTGAGATCATAAGAGGTCACATGATATTATGTCACACATTACATACATTAGGAGATCACTTAATGTCACATGACTTACATGATGGTTTGTCTTTAGCATCAGATGTAAACCGACAGACCACACTCATATCAATATTGGACCATAACTTGAACTGGGACCACCACTGCTCCACTGCCACAGCTAATGGAGAGAGAGAGGAAGAGTGATAGTAGATACATGTACAGACTAGCCTCTATATAAGGGACACTTTGGGGCAAGAAAGTGTCTCTGTTATACAGAGGTGTCCTTTATGTGGAGGTTATTTTATACAGTAAGGAATGTAATTGGTACACTAGGTGCTGTCTGTTAAATGGAGGTGTACGCTATAGAAAGTGTCCATTAGAAAAATTATAAACACATATAATATATAATATAACATAAAAATATAATAAACATGTACATTGTACATGTACATGAAGATGTACAATGTCTCTTCACTTATCACAAGGTAGTACTACATGAAGATATACAAATGTCTCTTTACTCACCACAAGGTAGTACTATTACCCCTGATCTTACTCTTCCATTACCAAACATCTTCCCTCCTAACAAAA